ACACACCTCTCGGCTTTGGTTTACTAAAACACTGAAGATTGGATAAGCACATTTTAATGAAAAAACAAAATCAGGGTCAAGCTTTGAGTTTTGTCTGACTGGTGAACCAAGAAGCCACAGAGAAGTTTGTCGACCACAACAACAACAACCAAAATGAGATGCTCTCAGTATTAATAATAAATAATGCATTTTGTGTTATTCGGAACAGCAGGGCCATCCAGATACAGGACTTTGCTCCCATAATCTTCCTGCCCAGACCATTTTAATCCTGAGTCTGCTGGAATCTGTCTGTCGGACATCTACAAGTAGATGAAAACGTTCGCACCAAGGGCAGCTCCCCTGGAGCCGGGCCCAGACCCTGACAAAACCCTCGTCCATCTGTCTTCATCTGGCTCCATCAGCCTGCAGTCAGAACCATGACTAACACGCAACAATAAAAGCCTTTTTAATTTTTGACAAGGGATAAAGAGCCCTGTAGAATTAATTTTTCATCATTTGAAAACATTTTTGAAGCCTCAGCCTACTCGTTAACATTTGAGAACATGTCTTGTGGATGTACAGATGTCTCTTGTTCAGCGGGGAGCTTATGGCCTCTCTGGGAGATCGATTAGACTAAACCGCAGAGGCAATGAGAGGTCATTTTCAACTTTACACACTCACCTCTATATATTTATCACCTCTGATCTCACCTCTAATCTGAAATAAGGTAGCAGTCTTTGTGTGTGCATGCACAAGCACGCCCGCACATCAAAATCAATTTGGTCCTGAGCCACAATGAGATGAAAATGCACCTTTGCATCAAAGTGGTTGAATGTTGGCCAGCGTTCAGTGTTTGCTTGTGTGTGTGTGTGTGTGTGTGTGTGTGTGTGTGTGTGTGTGTGTGTGTGTGTGTGTGTGTGTGTGTGTGTGTGTGTGTGCTTATATGCTCGTGCAAGGAGTGCCACTCATGGACAGCATTAACCCAACAGGACATCAAGTGGATGGTGTGTGAATGCATTTATGCAGGCTAGCCAGGGTCAGACCAAGAGGTTTGTTAACATGGAGCATTAATCCCGCTTGGGCTCACATCCACATGTGGGTGTGCACACACATACACACACACACACACACACACATTCCCTCAGTTCTCTGCGGCGAGCTGAGATGCCCACAAGTAAATTTTTAATCAGAAGCGCTCTAATCACTCAGGCCATCTTTAAACACCAGTCACGACCTCCACTAACACACATCAAGAAGACCTGCTGATCCTGGAGGGCTCGGTCACAAACAGCACATCCTCCCACCGCAAATGATATACAGCACTTCTTGTCAATACCAACTATACAGTGAAGAAGGAAGACAACCCTCTTTATTTATCTGTGCTCCTGTAGGATTTTCTTTCAGTTGCTACTTCTGTTTCATTAAAGCTTTACTGCGACTGTTGTGTTTTCTGTTCCTTTTTTTTCCCCAAATCACCGTCAGGAGGGTTTTTGCCTCTTGTCATCTCTTGTCATCGCAAGCAAGAAATTCATCTTAGTTGGCTTGCCAGGTTAAACAAAGGTTAAATAATGAGTCCAGGTGAATTCATTTTCTAATTCTAATTCTAATCTAATTCTGTCAGAATTTCCAGACATTTCACACAATACAGGCAGTGAGCAGTGAAAAATGTATATTAGGTCTGCAACTACAACTTATTAACTTTATGCTGTAAAATGTAAAAATCAATGACCAGGGGCGCCCCGGTGGTGCGCCTGGTGAAGCGTGTGGAGCATGTATTTTGGGCTGAGTCCTGAGCCTGCAGCCCTTTGCTGGATGTCGTTCCCTCTCTCTCCCCCCACCCTTCCAGCCTCTCCTGAACTGTCCTCTCCAAAAAAGCATAAAAAAGCCCCAACAAAATCAATGACTGAAGCCTATCACTCTCCCATCTTACTTGACCTGTACAGCTGAAACAATGAATTGATCACTACAGAAAATTAACAATCAATCATCGTAATTTTTCTAGCAAACACATAAACATCATATTCTCAAATGTGAGGATTAGCTGCTTCTCCGTTTTATATCCTTGTACCCTGAAATATCTTTGGGGTTTGGACTGCTGCTCGGGACAAAATCTGAAGACGTCTCCTTAGCCTTTGGAAAATTATGATTCTGCACTACTTTTTGCCAATTTATGAACTAAATAATTAGTCAGGTAATCTAAAAAATAATGTAATAATGGAGCCCTAAATCAGATTTATAATGATGTGAAATAGAGAAACGCAAGCAAGCTGCTTATTTGTGTGAAACTGTGACCATCAGCATAAAAGATTTGGAATTTTTACTTGATAAATGGAAATGGGAAATCACTATTATTTAATTATCTATTGATCTAAAAAGTAACTTGATTTATTATTGTGCTGATTTTCAAAACAAGGCTTTAAGCAAGCTCATATTTGCCTACTTATGGTCGGATTCTGCTGCTCAAAGAGACACTTCCCATACTGGCTTCTGAACTTACAAATGTTTAACATCTGCAAACAGCCTGATAGTAATTTGGACAAATGGAGGAAGTTACATACTAACATTTCTGAATGATTTCCGGGGAAGAAGTAAACAGTGCTACTTCTTTGGCTCGGGGTCTGGAAACTAGCATATTCAGGGACACTGTACAGCAAGCAGCCACAGAGCTGTATATCATAGTCTAATATCATATAAATAAACTCCTTTCCCAGAGCGTCGGCCTTTAAAGGGCACCTCAGTCTAAAAAGACTCTTGTGATGAGGTTTAACACAACGATGCAGTGAATCTTAGTCAGTGCAACACACTTTATCATATTGACTATTTTCAAGAGGCTTCTGTGTGTGTGTGTGTGTGTGTGTGTGTGTGTGTGTGTGTGTGTGTGTGTGTGTGTGTGTGTGTGTGTGTGTGAGAGCCTCTATTTACAAGTGTGTGTGTGTCACTGTCCTACCCTCCTCTCCACCCCTCACCTCCATTGTTATTCCCCACTTTGCTGCTCTCCAAACAGAGCACACATTCATCACTCGGTCTTGTGCCTTTCTTGTGGACATGCCAGGGAAAAAAAGGAACCTTTTCAGGTCTGTGCTTGTAAATGACCTGCTGCAAAAAAGGGGTTTATTAAGTCACCTCCCCTCCCTTCTCCTAACCTACTTCCTGAAGACACAGAGGAGGAGAGGGACGGATGCAGAGAGAAGAGACAGATTGACAGATATGGCAGGAGCATGAATGGACAGATATATTGGGGGGGAGGTGGCAAGTGGGGAAAAGCATTACATTTGTCCAGGTTATGCTCAAATAGGGCTACAGTTGTCTTAAATATGTAACAGAAAAGTGGTCTTCCTCAGGTCCACATATCTGCCGTCAATAGATTGTCATGACTACGTGAAACGAAAGCATAATTGGGCACCAGATATCATCTTTTTGTGCAGAATATTGTTTCACAGCACAAAGATTTGTGAAGGTGTGTGTGTGTGTGTGTGTGTGTGTGTGTGTGTGTGTGTGTGTGTGTGTGTGTGTGTGTGCGCGCGCCTCAGGATTATTTGCCTTGTAATAAAAGTGTTGTCACAGTTTCCTGGATCTCTTTAGGTGATGTCTTCAAATTGCTTGTTTTGTCCGACCAGGAGTCAAAAGTTCAGTGATACTCAATTTACAGTGACATAAAACAGGGGGAAAGGAGCAAATTCTCACATTTGAGAAGCTGGAACCAGCTTTTTTGTTTGATAAATAATTTTAAATATTGATCAGTTGTGACATATTTTACGCTGTCTGTCTGTGCTGGAAGAAAGATCCCTTCTCTGTTTCTCTTCCCCTTTCCCCACCCCTGTTTTCAGGATTTACTCTTCATCCAAATTTATGTCCTGAATGCAGATGAACTGCAACAAATAAAACTCACTTGACTTGATTGTTGTGTTTTCTGTCACTTGTCAAATCAATTCATTGGCTCATTATTTCAGCACTCAGCTCGGTGCAGATTTAATCAAACAAACTTCTTCACTGTCAAACCATTTCTGCCAGTTTATCTCCTTGCAATGGTTCTTCAATACAGTTGCATGCAGTCAGACTCAGCCCTTGTTGTGTGCTGCGAAATACAAACCTGGATGACACATTGACATAATATTTAATTGATGGTTGTAACACAAAACAAGGCTGATGGAAAAAAAAACTTCAGCCAACTCAGAACAAAACCAATCAAGTGATTGAGAGAAATCGAATCAGCCTTATGGAAAATATTGAACGAATGCAACAATTGGGGCTACAAGCACATCCACTAAAGCTCCAGATATAAATAGTTTGTCATTAATTGTTGCCCCCTTCCCCCTCCTCTTGGTGCATAAAAAGGTTCATAATCTTCCGCGGTTAATCTTTGCAGTTTAATTAATTTGCCGGCATAGGTGTTCGCACAGCACATAATCTGACTGAACGGGCGAAATCAATCATCCCGACAAGCCTCGGGCGCTCAAGGAGACCATCACGATAAACATCCCCCCCCCACCCTCCCCCCTCATCATCCTCCGCAACACACACACACACACACACACACATATACGACGCTTCTTACAGGACATAAACAACAAGAAGAAATCTCCTCAAGAGGTCTCACGCCGCGAAAATGTGGGCCAGATCAGATTAGATTTTTGGGGGTCGTGTTGAATGGAAATCACTCCGCCGCGCATCTCCAAATGTGGCACACATGTCTGCTGTGAATACATTTTCCTGGGGACAAAGTGTCATCCATTCATCCATAAATCCGCTTTTATGAAAAACGGCGCGGCTGTCGGTGCGTAATTGTTGCCATCACAGAGCAGATGGGGGGAAAGAGAGCGGAGCGCCGGCACAACAGAAACAAACATAAACGCCTCTAAATGCCCTCTTGTACCACACCGACCCCGTTTTCTTTTATCTTTTTCTTTTATTTTTTTACAGCACACCAGACATGTCTACTACTACTCTACAATGGGGATTAAAGGCGCCATGTAGGACAGAGATGCTGATATATTACACAATAGGACCACACCGTCACCCACCTTTGTCATCTCGGAGCTGTGATGTGATGTGGCGGTGATTTCTCTCCCTGGACTGGCTCCGTGTCCCGGGCAGCCGGCTGACTGCTGCCTGTCCCCCCCGCCCCCCTGCTTTCCTCTCCTCCTCTTCCTCTTCTTCTTCTTCCTCTTCTTCTTCTTCTTCTTCTTTTTCTTCCTCTTTATGTTCCAGGATAGCCTCCGTTCCTCCTCTTTCTCGCCTACAGCTGGCTCTCCTTCATCGGTTTGGTGATTGTTCAGGTGTCGCAGTCAGTGAGGCAGCGGATCCGCTGTCTGTCTGTCATCAGAGGCTCCTCGCGACTCCTCGTGCAACAAAACGGGAGACTGGTGCCTATCTCTCTCTCTCTCTCTCTCTCTCTCTCTCTCTCGCTCTTCAGCCAATGCGCGCGCGTTTGTGCCTGTGATGCGGGGATGCGTGCTGCTGGGCTGGCGGCTGGCACACGCGCACGCACGCACACAGCAAGCACACATATGGTCCTCACACACACACACACACACACACACACACACATATGAGCACATTAACGCGCATGGACAATCCTAACGGAAGCAACTATGCCTATAGTGTAGCTCTATCATCCAGGTGATCTCTTATGATATTCGATATGATATTGCCGTAATTACTCATAATGAGTGATAGCTTTAATACCGTTTGCTTCGTTATCAGCTCGTTGTTTCTTCTTGCTTCCACACTGAGCTTCATCTATCATGCCAATAAGGTTCATTTGAATTTGAACTGGAACTTGATAGCTGACTGATATGTAAATCCACAGCAGGCAGGGGTGCATTTTAGTGATTAGTGGGCCCTAGGCTAAATCAGTGGGGCCACCCTCATGCATTATTCTCACCCTTTTCCTAACAGAGAATGTTATTGCATTAATGAGGATACGATTGCAAACAGTTACCTACTGTTCTTACATGCAAACTGTTCCCTGTGCTCGGGGGTTATTGGATGGTTGTCTTATAAAAGTGATAAAAAGATGGCGAAGATCGGTTAGTTATCGTTGGTAGTAATGGTCAGCCTGTGGAAACCAACAAATCAAATTAGATAATAATAAAATAATGAGATGCGTTGTTTATTACTGCCCTGAATCCAGCGGTGAAAGAAGTACTTTTACAAGAAGGACCGGTGTAAAGGATTTAGTGGCCTCTAGTGGTGAGGTTGCAGGTTGCAACCAACTAAATACTCCTCCACTCACTCCTCCCTTTCCCTGTGTGTAGGAGAACCTATGGTGGCCTTCATAAAAACATGAAAGGCCCTATTTAGAGCCAGTGTTTGGTGCAACATGAAAGGCTCCTTCTAGGGTAATTAAAATGTGAGAAGTACATAATTTAAAGTGTCAAAGGTAAAAGTACTCATTGTGCAGAATGGTCCATTTCAGAATAAGGCATATTATTTTATTGGTAGAAGTAGAAGTACAAAGTAGCTTAAAATGGACCTCAAAATTGTACTTAAATACACTCCAATATCGTCCCTCTGTGGTCTCTTTAACGTCAGCTGACTTCCTGTTGTGCTCCAAACAGTCATAATTCCTACATCCCCTGGAGGGCTTCGTCACTTTAGTGTAAACAAATGATGTTGAGGAGCTGAGAAAATTACACTTGATGATCTTGGTTTAGACTTGAGACTGCTTGGAGTTAGAAAGATGTGGGCAGGAAGGGTCTAATGAAAAGATGCTTTTAGTTGCGTTATGGGAAATGTAGGATCCAGTCTTTTGTGGAGCTTGGCCGGTACATGGGACAAAAAGTCAGGATATCTCTGCATTTCCTGTTGAGTTTTCAGTCTTCCTTTTAAAAATATGTCCTCCAAATTCATGGGAGGGCAATGTTAATTTGCTCTAGCGCCCCTTTAATGGCCTCTTGCAGGAGTACTCTGGTGGCTTAGGGGCTTAAAAGACTATCCCCAACTTCCCCAATCCAAGCTCGGCTAAAGATTTTTGTTGCATGTCATTCCATATCTCCTCATATCCATTCAGTTCTACACTGCAAACTAACAAAAGGCTTTTTAAAAAAGGAATATTGTTGTTGGGCCCTAGTTTAATATATATACATTTTGCCATTTCTGTATGTTATTCCTAAACTGATTTATAGTGTGGTACATTTTACTTTATTGTACTTCATGGTTGTTTTATTATTATCAGTTTCTGCAGTTCTAGTGGAGACTAATAAGAGAACCGGAGTCACTGGTAGCCTACTTAAAAGACAATTTATAGCTGGTGACCTTATTGTGATTTCTGGCTTTTACCTCTTATTAAAGCCCATACTCTTTAATGTCATATTGTACTGCATCCCTCTATAATTGCTAGATGTTTTTTCAGCGGGGCTAAGGATGCTTGCTGGATCGTAACAGACGGATTGTTTGAGTAATGATCATAGACTCTAGGGTGTAATGATTAAATGAGGTATTGTGTTTGGTAGCCATACTGCAGCATATTGCCTCCTCCATATGGGTCATTATTCCAGGGAGGAACAGTGGACTTTGATTAGGCAATGCTGTCTCTTCTTCCTATTGATCCTCTCTGTGATGAGCTGTAGAGTTTGTCCATAGCTTGTTAAACACCCAGCTGGCATTATAATTAATAGTTTTTAGCTTCTGGGTCAGCAATAATGCATGATGCCACTGTGCTGAATGGACAATATTTGTTTTAGGGGCTATTTTCTGATTGATTGGATGCTTTGTTTTTTTTCCCCTCTCCTGCTTGTTTTGTGGTCTGTGAGTGATTTAATTGGAAAATGCAGGGAGAGACGTTTCTAAAAATGAAGTATAGGATTTTCCTTTCTCGTCAATGTAATATGTTTACCGTACAGTGCAAGTAGTCTTTTCTTTTTCACATGAAAATTACTTTACTAGACAGGTATTTATCCAAAAAGCAATCCAGTTTCAAAGACAGTTCTAATAAGTCAACCCCTCCTCCTGAAAACCAGCATGGTAATATGTTAAGATTCACAATCCGTCTCTACTCTTCCCTATAATTACTTTTATTGACTTCATCCACACAGGAATCAGGCAAACATGAAATGAGGGAAAGTGTAGACGTGACTTCATGTGCACAACAAACATGGTAAACAGTATTTGTTTTATTTTCCAGTAATGCGTCTTATCCTGAACTATATTCATTTATATGAGCAATCTTTAGGTAGAGTTTCATTAATTGTAGAAGTATTTTATGATTATTTTGGTTTAAAAGCTTCTTGTGCTCTGGGACTAACAAAACAATTTCACTACAATATAACAAAAGTCAAAGCAAATCTCCATCCTTTTCCATTGTTACAGACCTGTTATTTTTTCTCCCCCTAAAGTTTGAAAAGAAGTGAAACCAGGACAAAGTCACACACCGTGCCTTTTTACAAACATGGCCCCTGCTCCCTGTACAGCCTGCAGAGGCGGGGGGCTCTGCTGCTAGACGCTGTCCCCTGGACACGCTTGGCTTCATCTTCCATTTGAGCTGTCAGGGTGCAATCAGCAGACATGGAGAGCACTCTGACTGGGCTGTGACATTACTCTGACCTCTGCGGGGTCCCTCACACCACTAACAGGCCCCGCCACTCCTCCTCTCGGGAGCTGAATAATTCAACATCATGAGGTTGTGGACGGTTTAGCCAGTAAAGCCCGGACAGGGTCAGTGGTTTGATTCCCTTTGAGATCAGCAAAACTATAAAAAAGGATCACACGTGTGGGGTTGTGAGGGGCACTGAATATGCAATATGTCATTGAATTTTATTGCCCTCTGCAATGCCAGTAAAGATCTGGTAAATTTCATTTTATTTTACAGGTTTTTTTTGGATATACTTGAAAAAGAAACATAAAATGTGTGAAAACAACTATTTCAATACAATACATTTAGCATCAGGTTTCTTGTGAAAGGCTTCAAGAATATACATAACAAATGGGATACTCTTTAGGGGGGAGTGTTTTGCCTCTGGTGAGAGACAATATGTTAGAAGGAGTTTGTTGTTTTGTTTTTATTGTCAGCATCCATGTGAATGTGAATGACTGAGAAAGACATGTGACCAATCAGCTGTTTTACTCTTGTGTAACAACTTCAAAACAAATGCATACAAATTGAAAATCATCACCTTTAAAGAGCAATTCCGTATTTCCCCTAATAACTCACAAGAGATAGATTGTGGTCAAAATCAAAGCAGAGGCCGAGGTGCCGGGGTGAGGAGAGTAACTTCCAAATTGTGTCTCTGCTCTTTGCAGACGATGTGGTTCAGTTGGCTTCATCAGACCGTAGCCTTCAGCAAGTACTGGGGCAGTTTGCAGCCGAGCCTGAAATGGCCAGGGTGAGAGTCAGAACCTCCAAGGTCTGAGGCCATGGTTATCTGCTGGAAAACGGTGGATTGCTCCCTGGGAGGGAGCTGCTGCCCGAAGCAAAGTATCCTGGGATCTTGTTCATGAGTGATGGCATAATGGAGCGTGAGATGGACAGGTGGATTGGTGGAGCCCTCAGCCTTGAAAGTAAGGTGGTAAAAAAATGAAAACCATAGTACACCAGTGATTTAGTATTTCAATTCCATAGCTCACATGAGACAATTCTCATAATGCTCTGAAAGTACCGTCCATTATCCACCCAAGAGAACAAGAAGGAGCACATTTGTTCATGATACACCTGTCCTTAGATCTCTCACCATGAGGTCAGTTTAGTAGGTATTCTGGACATTTTGATCGTCTTACATGATCTTCTTCAGCAGACAGAGCTCGACCAGTTAGAATTACACTGTATATAATCACATTTTAATCTTTCTGAACAGCCCTCTTATCTATGTTGGCTTAAAAGCTGAGGGTCAGAGTTCAGTAATGACCTTGGACACAGTTATTCACAAAGCAATGACACAACAAGGTTCGTTTAGGGAGCTTTTCAGAAGCTGGATGTTGACATTTGGAACTGTATATTGCAGTTATATGCTTGTTACAGCTAGGGTAAATCAAAATGAATCAAATTAAGCTAATTGTGTTTGTTATGGTACTAAAGCTGCTTGAATACTGAATTAATTAGAAGTTCTCCAACATTAACATTGTCTTAAAGCATCAGAACAGCAACAGTGACAGAAAACACTCCCTGTCTCTTTAATTCACTTGATCTGGTTTTGCATTATGTGTTTGCAATTGGATTTGATTGCTTCAGATGTTTTATTCCTTTCTCTCAGAATAAAGTGACGCTTCCTCTGCTTCTTTGCATTGGTCACCGAAACAAGAGCTGCTTCACCTTCTTCAAGTTTTTAATAAGAAAATATGACGGCCTCCAGGTCAGTGCTAATGGGGTGGAGGACAGGGGCTCATTTACATAGTACAGAGAAAACCTCTACTGTTCCACACAGGGCTGTCAACACTTCCTGTCAGCACTGCCGCACACTGCCCTCCGAACACACACACATTCCTCTTTGTCAACTTCTTTCTTTTGCCGTCGTTTCTCATTTTCCTCTTCTTCCCCTTTCCCATTTGTTCCCTTCATCACTCTGTCCCTCCTCTTTCCACCCTTCTTTCACCCTCTGAATCCACTGTGGACAGTGTCCGTGTACTGATTAGGTTTCACTCTGCTTTCTAGCTCTGTGCTCTCTCTCTCTCTCTCTCTCTCTCTCTCTCTCTCTCTCTCTCTCTCTCTCTCCTGTGCGTGTGTTTCTGTACGTATATATATGTGTGTGTGTGTGTGTGTGTGTGTGTGTGTGTGTGTTTAATGAAATCCCCCCTCCCTTGGGCTCAGGTGTCACAGCAGCTCTAACTCCACTCCCTTGAACGGAGAGCTCAGCGCTGAGGATCAACATAAGGGGCAAAGGTTTTAGACAGTTTCCCATGTATCGAATAAATTAACTGCTGCTGTGTGGGCGATATGTGTGCGAGACGGAGAGGAAAACATTCACACAAAAGGTGGTTCTTATGTGTTTTTGAGCCTGGTGCACACTGGCTCAGCCCTCTTAAAGCCTGTGGTCATATTACTAAGCACAGGGTCAAAGGTCATAGCCAATGAGCCACCATGATACAGAAGGAACTGTGTTCTAACTGAGGTGCCACTCGGCTTTCTTCTGTGTAAAACATCGGCCCCTCTGTGTTGTTTTGATGTAGTGACGGCCGTGTTTCTGGAGCAACACACAACTGTGGATGAGTGCACGTGCGCGGTGGCTGAATATGTGTCACTCTCCGTACTTATCATCCCAAATTTAGTTGGAGGAGGTTTGATTTAGGAGCTTTTATTTTAGACTTTGCGACCCAGATTTTTTTATGCCACATCACGGTCATCTGCCATCTCCTGTGGCTTATCTCCACTATCAAAAAAGATGCCAAGAGGTATGATAGGGACGTGAACACACACACACACACACAGACACACACTGGTCTCCTCTGAGCCTCTTACAACCTGAGAAGCAGTCATCAGCTTAGTGGTGGTCTCTCCCATAGCTTTAATCTGCAGATCAACTTTGTAATAATAATCTATACACATTATGAAATTGAATTGAAGGCCACCACAATCATTATTATACATACGCTACAATATTGTGTGTCCAGATAATCCCCTCCTCCTACAGTCCGACCCTGATATCACTGCAGTGCTCCTACGTGCGCATATACCTGCAGTATCGTCATATTAGTGCTTTGTACGATTCGGCCCATTTATGAGCCTGATCCATTACTGATTACCATTTTAGTACTTAAATGTGTTTTCCAAACATAAAGACCGCTATTGGTATGAAAATCAGATTTTCAGAGATTTAACACGTAGGTGGTAGATGATATAAACCTTCAGGTGATAATCAGCCATCAGAGATATTGTAGAATAATGAGCAGGACTGCTTTATGGTAATATTTGATTTCTGCATCAAGATCTTAAAGTAACTGTCTGGTTATTTTACTATTAATGGTAATTTTTTTGCACTATATCACAGTATATACTGATATAAAATTACTTATACCACGGTATAAGATTTACCAGCCTGTAATCCATCACAATAAACATTACAGCTATTCTGCTGATGTTGTCAAAGTTATGTTATTATTGAATTGTTTGTGCAGATTAGATTCTGCTACATTATTATAAAAAAAGAGCATAAAACACAGTTTCTGTTGATCATCTGTTGAAAACCACATATCTAAGAAGTTTTTATGGTTCTTTAGATTAGGTATTTTCATTTCATTATTTAAAAATGTGATATCAACAAACTTAAAACAAGGCTGTTTTCTTGGTTCCTGTGCTGACATTTTGGAGTTTTTTTAATCTGCGTACTACTACTGCATTATTAATGATTAAGTATTGTTGCAACCAGCAGTTACATTTAATGAACTACTGTCAGTACAATATGAGGTTACTTTACTAGAGTAGTTGTGCCTTAGTGCCACTTTAAACTTCTACTCCACTATATTTGAATTTCCACCATTTTTTCTCCACTACATCTCTCTTCAGAAGCTTATTAACCAGTTACTTTGCAGACAAAAAGTTTGAATATACTATAAAACATATCCTCATATTATAAAATGTGATGCATTGCTATAGATTAACCGAGCCAACTGTATATAAAGTATTTAAAATTATCTCCAGGTTGACAATTTTGGACGTTTTAAGTTTTTTTAATAATACTTCTGCAGTATTATTGTTTTTTGTAGCATATTTAGTCCTGATTTCAACCAGTGGACCAGAGAGAAAGACCCCATTGTTCTTCTTTCCGAGTCCAAACAGAAGACTGCAGGTGCAGGGAGTCGGCGCGTGGCGGCGGTAACGTGCGGCCAGCCTCACTATGACCTCACAATCATGGCGGCGGCCGTCAGGAGGTACAGTTGGTTCGTTTCCGTTTCTAGAAAAGTGGGAAGTTATCTGTTTAATTCAGTTTTCATCGCTCAGGCGGCGGCGTGCGCTTCCAAAATGGACTCGGAGAGACCAACCAAGGTTTGACAGTGACTTTGTCGTGTTTCAGGCTCACGTTTTTGCTGTGTCATGACTTAATTTTTACCCGTAATATTATTGTCCAAACAGAAAAATGCGTTATTCTGCAGCTTTTGTGACGCAACCGCTGCGTAGTCTGGTAGCTAAAGAGATAAACACCAGTGTTAATATTACTGCGCAGTCTGACAACAGGCCAGGTTAAACTACAGATCAACATTATTGGCTACAGGTGTTTTTTTATTTTTGCCTCCACAGCTGGAGTTTGCGGTGCAGATGACCTGTGAGAGCTGCGCAGAGAAAGTCAGAGCTGCTCTGGAGGATAAACCAGGTAAAAGAAAGCGTGCAAAGGTTTACCAACAAGAAACAGTTCCCTGTGCATTTGTCATCTGTAACCGACAGCTCTGTTTAACGGTGCTCTTATTCCTAGTGAGTTCACACAGCTGAGGACCATGACACAGCAGATAACGACCAGACTCAACCTTATCTGTCTCTTGGTTATGGCTGCCCTTCCTGTACACAGTATAGATGTTATATAGAGGCAGGTTTTATTTATATAGCACGTTTCATGACCAGACAATTGATAATACTGTTGTAGGTTTTCTCTAAAGAACTAGAACAGAAATTGTAGCCTTGTTTGTTTGTTTATATATTTGACAGGGACAGTACACAGCTACTAGATGCACCAAAATGTGCTGTGAACTGATTTACATCTGTATATCCACAACACTGTAAGAGAAATATTAACACTGTAATATACATTTATTTTAAATTTACAACATAGTTCATATTCACTATACAACATAAACATCAGCGGCAGTGTTTTTACAGCATTGAAACCACAACAACAACAACAACAACAGCATTTTAGAGTCACTTCCAGTTAATTTATTCCAATTAAATGTTAATCTAATGTAACCTAGAGACTTTAAATTGAAAGCTGAACATGCAACAATGTGCAATATGTCTACAGGCAAGATTGCAATGCAACATATGTCAGCAACTGTTTTTCAAGTTATTGTTTCTCCAGTAAGAAAAACAAAACACACTGGCTCAGAAACTACTAATAAGTGAGTTCAGTTTATTTTGGGGGGGATACAGCATGAAACAGAAGAGCTGCATAATCCACATTTGAGTTTTAAAGGGTGAAAGTTTGTCATTTTGCTTAATTAATGGCTAAGACCTTTTATTTTAGATTATCAAAATGTCGGCATCACTGTTTGTGTTGCAGTCTGCATGTGTGTAATTTCTCGGCCTGCTCGTGTGTCTATCAGCTGACCATTTTCATCTCTGTTAACGTGTCCGCAGGAGTGAAGTCTGTCAGTATCGATGTCAGTAAAGAGGAGGTGTTGGTGGAATCTGCTCTGACCAGTGCCGAGGTGCAGGCTCTGATAGAGAGCACTGGACGCAGGGCCGTGCTGAAAGGCATCGGAGGATCGGAGCAAGGTGAGGACGGCTGCGTGTTAAACCTCAATACTTTATGGTATTTTCTATAGCATGAATATTGAAGATTGTCAAGTAACAAAAGTCAACAAAAAACATGTTTACATTTAGGCCCCATTTCCACCAAGCAGTTGAGTTCATTGTGGTCTGCTTTGTTACACGTTAGAATAGTTATTTTTGAGTTTCCATTGTCAAAAGCTGTAGATGGTACCTGCAGGACCACTCTAGTCCATCCTAGCACACTGTACTGGGATGGTGGGGTGGAGCTAGAAACACTGCAGACCACTGATTAGTCCGAGAGAACCACAGCAACCACATAAACAGCTCTAGGGTTTAAATACATGTAGGTAGGGGTTATCATCCATGCAGTATTTGCAAAGCCAATAGTTTTAAGTATCCTAAATCCAGCATTGTTTACGTCCATGTTCACTAGCTTGCTGTTTTCGTCTTCCCTGCCTTTGCAAGCACTTCACAGCATATCTTGTTGGCATGTTACCACCACCTGTAGATCAGGGGAATGGTGTGAAAACCCATTGGCAGGCATGTGTATGCGCATCCCCCACTCATAGAAAAACATCTTCATAGTGCTACTAGAGGTCAAAAACTCCACAGGGAACCTTTTAAGAACAATATGTTATGGTGATGTAGCCTTTAGTAGATGGATAAATTGCCATGGAGGCACTAGTGCTGTTCACGCATATTAATAAAACACATCCTGGACAAACATCAGAAGTTGAATGCTAAAAGGAAGTTTGATTGCACCTATTTTGTATCCCTGACCACAACGTTGTAGTTAGCTCATGTACACTCTCAGACACAGTTGGTTATGGTTGATATGCCTCTGTACAACATATCAGACAAGGGTTTTAAGTCTGTGTGCCAGCTGATCTAAAAATATCTGTGTATGTTTCTGTTCAGCTCACAGATTCCCTCAGATAAAATCAAAAGTGAGCTGAGAACCATAATCTGATCACAGGCAGTCACTCGAGACGCATTTGAAATGCATCCTTACTCCGTGTATGAACTGCAGTAACATCCAAACACAACCTGGATGTATCTTGATGTGAGCTCACAGCCATAAACATACACAAACTGTTGTAGGATCTCTGTATTTTGTTATGACAGATCTGGGTTCAGCAGTGGCCATGATGGCTGGTGTGGGAACGATCCAGGGTGTGGTGCGTTTCCTGCAGCTGTCTGAACAGCGATGCTTGATTGATGGGACCATTGATGGTTTGGAGCCTGGACCCCACGGCCTCCATGTGCACACCCTGGGGGACCTCACACTGGACTGCCTGAGGTAGGACTGCGGTCAGCAAATCTTACAGTGCCTTGGTTAATGGTTTCAGCAGTATATGACTGTACTTCATTTAGTTGGACTCATCCTTGGTGCTCTGGAAGTTGTGCACTTTTCAGTATTTCAAGCTTTAAGTACCTGGGCACTGATACAATGATTTTTAAAAAGTCCTTTAACATGGAGTTGTGAAGTGGGAGAATCATAACATAAAGTAGGAAAGGTTCCCAGCTGTTGTAGTATGCTTTGAGTTTTAGGTGTGTGCCATAAATTTTTGAGTGTGCAGTGTAGGGAAGGCCACAGCTGGGTTATTGGTAATCTATATACACTTACTAGTATAGGTTTATGTCACAGCCATCAGTTTTAATTATTTCATATAGGGCTGCAACTAACGATTATTTTCATTATCGATGAATCTGCCAATTACTTTCTAGATTAATCTATTAATTGTTTGGTCTATAACATGTCAGGAAATAGTGAAAAATGTTCTTCCCAGTTTCTCAAAGTCCAAAGTGATGTCTTTAAACTTCTTGTCTTGTCAATCCAAAACCCAAAGAATTTTAGTTTAATATTATATAAAACGGAGAAAAGCTGAAAATATTTGAGAGGCTGAAAAATAACATTTTTGCATGAAAACCAATTAATTAATAAAATCAAAATATTTGGCGACTAATCATATCTGAAGACTACTTACATTTTAGGTACAGAGGTTTATGACTTGACATTTTTGTTTTTGATACATTGACAAGCATTTTAATATGTATATGAACTAGTCCTTTCCCCAGTATTTCACAGGCATACAATGTTTGTCATCAAGAAATGTCTCAGAAAATACTACTTAAAAAACTATAAAATGTAATCATATGTGCATTTTAATTATATGAACAAACTAAAACATTTTCAAGAAGCACTCAAAGTAAAAGGCATCACCCAAAAAAAAAAGAATGCATACATTTTTAACACAGTTGCTCATCTTTTGTAGAAGTGCTCCAGCCATTTGTGGACAGTAACAGCACCCAGAGTTAAACTTAGAAATTGCTCTAAAAACAAACTTGTATTAAATAAGATTTGATTTTGTCTTTCTTACAGTTGTGGAGAGCACTATAACCCCTTTGGAAGACAACACGGCGGTCCAGGGGACTCTGAAAGGGTACAGTATTATCTGTTATTTAGATCTATATAAATATATACACTTTTTCTTGGAGACAACTTGCCAGAAATTTAGATGTAAGAGGATCAAGGAGCAAAACATAAAGTAAATAATGGATCCTCTTATCGTAAAGTCTGACAAAACCACTCCTGAGATTTAATAAAACTTAACCACAAGCCAAATATAAGATGAGATTCACCTCTCAGATTGCCAAATCTCTCCCACAGGAGCCATTTTGAGCAGTTGTGCTCCAGGTGCCAAACTTTCCAATAAAGTGTATGAAAGAGCTACAAGTCTGAGGCAATGTTTCCTGGCTGTCACGATGTGTCCTCCTTGTGTGTTTACTTCTATGGTTCAGTGTTATTTACTCACTGTGTGTCATGTGGTTATGTGTAATTATTTTCACATGCAATATTGTCGTACAGCATGCAGGTGATCTGGGGAATATTGTTGCTGGACCAGATGGCAGAGCCTCATTTAGACTAGAGGACAGTCAGATAAAGGTAACACACACACACACACACACACACACACATTTTGCACTGGTAGTAAGGCAGATAGCTACAGTATATTGAGCTTTAAAAAGGTTTTAGAAAGCTGAGATGTCCTATATCAACATCCGATTTCCAAACAGCTTTTAATCCCCTCTTAATTGATCCCTTGGTGCCTGGCTGCAGGTATGGGATGTGATTGGCCGATCGCTGGTAGTGGATGCAGGGGAGGACGACCTTGGTCGAGGTGACCACCCTCTCTCTAAGCAGACTGGAAACTCTGGGGAAAGGTGGGTCAACGGCTTTAGCACCAGTAGCCCAGGTCTCTCTTTTGAGTCTGTTGCATGCTGTGATGTTATTTTGGATTGCATTAACGTGTTTCTATTTATTTGTCCACTGCCTGTTTATACAGAGGGTTGTGCTTTATTGTAATATTGTGATTGGATCTCTCTGTTGCCTTTTTTTGTCATTATGTGTTTATTTAATTTATTATGTAGATTGTAGAGCCAGACTGATATGGGATTTTTGGGACCGATAGTAATTTTTAGAGGGGTAAAATTCATAGATTATCGATATGAACCGGAATGAAAATACACCTTTTCTATGTGGACTGTGCTCCAATGTGAATATGCAAAGGTACTCAGAAGGCTGCTTTCTTAAATACATGTTAAGTAATTTAATGCTTAATAATTGATTGCCTCCTCTCTCTTACTCTGTGCCGCTTGCCACCGTATCGTAAATCGAAGTGCACTCTGCTGGACAAACTTTGGAGTGACACAAATATATTACCACAAGCATTTGTTTCTGCATTATATACTGGTAAAATTGACACATATCGGATAACATATACACTTACACTGATACAATACTGAAATGTCTACAATCTCAGCCAATGTGTCAGTGAACTGATACATTGGTTGGGCTCTACTTCAAAGGTACATGGAGAAGGGAAAAAGTTGGTTGGGCTCTACTTCAAAGGTACATGGAGAAGGGAAAAAGTCTGAAGAGGTCATAACTCCAGCAATACTTTTAGTATACACGCCTTCATTGTGGTCATCATAAAACACACTACAGTGAACATGTATCACATATAACTGACAACCAGCCCTATACATACATATACATATGAGCCAATGGGGCATCTGCACATGGTCTAAGGTCATGTGGCTTCAGGCCAATCACACTCCTAAACTGGCAGAGACTCTTTGAGTGAGTCAATACTTGAAGCTTCTTCTTTTCAAGAGACACCTTGTGAAGTAAAATTTATAATTAAAATTTGACAAAACAATCTGTGAATGGACCTTGAGTTGGGATTGTTTTGTGAACCACTAGCTCCAAGGTTGAGGCTTAATATAATTAATGCGTTTTCTTCATTGTTCCTTTTTCCCCTACAGACTGGCCTGTGGGATCATCGCTCGATCAGCGGGTCTTTTTCAAAACCCCAAACAGATTTGTGCCTGCGACGGGGTCACGCTGTGGGAGGAGAGAGACAGGCCGATAGCTGGGAAAGGTCGAAGCAAAGCCAACACAGAGACACCGGCAGCGCACCTCTGAACCTAGGAGCACAAACACCGACCACATTTGTAACCCGTGTTGGATAGTTTGAACAGAAAGAGCCCCTCGAAGAGAATTGCAGAGGACATTTGTCGACAGAGGGTGAAGCGAGAAAGACAAAGCACTAAGGAATATGTTTCCAGACAGCTGGACAATCGACCAAAGAAAAATAGCCTTATTTTCTTGTAATTTTTCTCTGGGATCAAATCAAATGCTCTTACAGCTGCAGGTAGTGTCCTCTGAGGATTTTAAAAGCACTAAAGCAGATTAAAACAGCCTTTAAAACAGGGAGTTTGTAAAATTCGCCTCTGATTAGCTAGATGTCTGTTAATACTGTTATATGTTTGTATAACCAGTCGCCTCTGACACAACTATCTCATCACTGTCTAAATTGATGTGCTTGTAAGATTTAAGGTATCCATTTTGACTGTACACTGGCTGGGGATAAATGCACTTCAATTTGCCATGAAAGTGTCGAAGTTAATTATGCAAGCCTCCTAAAAACAGCAGAAGTAGTAAAAAACATCCTGATACTCCCACCGCATCAGTGATTCCCAGGCAGGGATACTTGTACAACGGGGGATACTTCTGCAGTCCGGTGGACATTTTGAGACATTGTGGAGTGGCTCAGCTCAGAGATTATGATTTGGTAAAAAAATATATCAACATTTTTTATTTTAGGAGGAAAATCAACACGCAAATAGGATTACATAATGGTGTGATGCTGAGGCTGTCTCTACAGGATATGTCTTAAACTAATTCATCTGTAACCTAAGTGTTGTGATTGAGTATGCCTATAAAAAAAAAAAAAAAACCTGTAAAAAAAGCAAACAGAAAGGTCAAAATAGATAGCTTAAAGTAGTAGTTCGATGGCTGAAACATCCAGCTTTGGTTACTCCATGTGGTAGCAGCAACCTAAACATGGACTGCTCCAGGATGGAGGATTCACACTCTTATTATAAAAGGGAAACAATGTGTGGATACTTAGGAACCACTGGGCTTACGCAGGACACATTGAGGCAATCTGGGCCACTGTTAGCTGCGTTAGCTTGTTCTTTTTAAATCCATAAGGTGGTGTGAGCGACTTGGGTAAGAGAGATTGCAAGGAGCTTGGGAGAGGGAGTCAAATTCCATCCAGAGTGAAAGGCCAAGGGTGGGAGGGGGTTTGATAAGGGGAGGTGTCTTGAGGGATTGTGTGCTCAGCTGTTTTTCCAACATGGCGTTTAAGTGTACAGTTTCTTCATGGTGGTCACAGTCAACGTTGGTGTCATACAATGCAGGAAAATGAAATTCTGTGCCCATTTTCTGCTTTAAATTGTCCATTTTCTTGTGTATAAACTATACATGATGATTGAAGTCTAATATAATAATGTACAAAACTTGTACCTGCTGACACTTTTTGATTTTTGTTAACACATATTGAAGACTTAAGTATTGGGACATCGTTTACACCTATTGATGTACATATGTGAGTGTGTAGCTTTGTAGCTTTGCATTGATTTTCCAAATTGAGCATCGGTCCAGTCTCGTGACGCCTGAATAAGGTTATTGAATTTTTCCTGAATGCTCAGTCGGTGTTTCTTTTGTTTGTGTCTGAAGGTTGTGAATGCAACTTGAATGTAGAGCTGGAACTAATGACTGTTGATGTTATTGATTATTTATTTAATCTATAAAAATGTCCTTATTTCCCAGAGCCTGAAGTAATGTCTGTAAACCTTTTTTTGTCTGACTATCAATCTAAAAATATTTAATTTACAGTCATAAATCAGTGAATCCTCACATGGGAGACGCTGGAGCCAGGGAAAATGTTTTTGCTTGATACATTTCCCAGCACGGCTTGTTCGTTACCAGCCATGCATCTGTGTATTTGTTATACAAAGCCTGCATTAGCAGTCATTTTGCACTTAATCTGTCCTCTGTGGTTAAGCAAATATATGTCATATATATATATATATATTTTATTCATTGCACATAATGAGCTCTTTAATTGAACTCACTGGCTCCCTTCCTGTCCCGTTGGAGCAGAACCCTGTGGCATTGAGGTGGCCTTTTATTTCTTCTAAGTGGCTCTGATAAATTAAACAGGCTTACACTAGCTTTTGTGCGCGTGTACTGTGTGTGTGTGCGTGCTTGAGTCATTTCCATGTGTTCATGCGTTTTTGTGAGGAATCAGCATCCTCTGGGTGCAGCAGCAGCAGCAGCAGCAGCAGCAGCAGCCCCTCCCCTCTGCAGCCTCTCCAGCAGTATGCCCGACATGCAGACGGAAGCAGGCGCTACCATTTTGAAATACAGCACCGCCTAGGTAAGATGGTAGATCCTTTTATTTAATCGCCTTTTCTGCAGTATTATTCTCATCTGAACCGCATGGGAGGTAATTAACGCCAATTCGTCTTAAAGCTCGAGTGTGTCTGACGGGTTTGTTGTAGCGACAGAGACTATAAGACCGTGTTGTTGCACAGGAATCACTCGGTGTTACACTGTATTCAGTCCTGTGCGGGGGAAAAAAAATGATTGTTACATTGTATCGATCTCCTATTGAGAGCAAGTTGTTGCATCCGATATTGTGTGTTTATCGTCCTTTGTTGCGCATAACAAAGCGAAATCGAGTGTTTTTATTTATTTCCCCCCACCATGCCTTGTTTTCGCCTTAGGGCTTGTTTTGCTTTGGACACGAGAGTGAAACCAATAAGCATCCCGTCTCGCCATTCACATTCCTTTTTATATATATATATATACAGCAAACGTGGACCTGATTTTAACCTGTTTCTAACCAACTTATTGTGTCTTTTTGTCCATTGTTTCGATCGTAAAAATGACCCGAGTGGTGAAAATGTGTTGACTCAGCGTCGTGCTGCGTCATCAAAAAAACCAGCTTCCCCCTGGTTATTCCTCAAATGAATCCAGTGTGAATGCAGCAGCCATATGTAACTGGGGGGCACACTCACATACACACAGTATCTAAACACTGAAGCAGATTTACTTGCATCTCTTTGAATGTGTTTTCTATGAGGAGAAGAAGCAGCAGCATTAGGAGGAGGAAGGAGGTTTAGTTCAGTCAGTAGACAGCTGGCTGGAGCCTAAACCAAAAAATAGAAATGTTCTTCCCTGGTGTCATGTTCCACTTTGCCCTTTGATTTAGAGCCAGCCATAAAGGTTGTACAGGAGGGAGGAAAGGTGTTGGCCAACCTGTAGGAACACGCTTTCAGTTTGACCTGTAGATTAAGAAGCTTGCATGTGAGGAGGGAATTTAGGAAAGTTGAGTCTTTTTTCCAACACAAAGAGCATATTCTGTAGCACGCAAGCCCGAAAGTTTGTGCCATCACCGCTTTAAAATGCTGTGTGAATTGATACGCCGCACTCTCACCTGAAATGCTCATTTCCCCTGGCTGTTTCCTGTGCATGACTCATCGCTGTACGAGTGATCACAGCCTCCTCTGAAGTGAGAATGAGATCCTTAAAAGATCTCCTCCAAACTGCCTTTGCTCCGTGATATATATTGAAAATATTTAGCTGTTTTTCACAGACATAAGGCATTTTCTTAAGTTACTGTAGAGGAAACCCTGCTTTGTTAAGCCTAATATGAGCTCCTGTGACCTGAGTGGCCAACTCACATGCAAATGTAAGGTCTGTGTGGTTTTTAATTTGTGCTATTTGAATGTTAATCTGGCTGCTGTGATTTAAACATGCACTGAGGTTCTTTAACAAGAGTGCATGTGTAACAGTTTCCTCTTAATCACATGTTGCCACATTTTTTAAAATGTGTGTGCTTTAATTCGCTTATCTCTGTAATAAACACAAGTTTCATGTCAGAGAAATGGAGCAACCTAAACTCGGCAGCACCAGCTCCCTCACAGACATTTTTAAACCCTGAAAAAGACACTAAATAGCTGGGTCAGCTGTGTCCCTGCGCACTGCAGTACAACCCTGTATTCAGACAATTGCACTCCACTACTTCCTTCCCCTCATCAGGTGTGGCTTTGTTCCCACTCAGTAGTTGTTATATCTGTGGCAGCTGGTAGTTGCACTGTGAAGTTAATCCCCTCTCTTATCTCTAACCACAGTCAAGTACATCACTCCTCTATTTCTCTGCAGCGCCATGGACAAGAGCCACACAGTGAAGCTCTTCGTGGGCAACCTGGCGTTGGACACCACCCAGGAGGAGCTGTCAGCCATCTTCGAACCCTACGGCCAGGTGGTCAGCTGCAGTGTGCTGCGACAGTTTGCCTTTGTCCACTTGCAGGGTGAGGGTGCCGCCGAGCGCGCCATCCGGGAGCTCAATGGGCGGGAGTTTCGTGGACGGAATTTGGTGGTGGAGGAGTCGAGGGGAAGGCCGTTGCACTCCACCAAGGTGTTTGTGGGTAATCTGAGTGGGATGTGTACCACTGAAGACCTCCAGCAGCTGTTCCAGACATTTGGAAAAGTTCTTGAGTGTGACAAAGTCAAAGGTGAGTAAAGACCCTTGTAACATTTGAATTGTTTTAAAATGCTCCCTCCCAAGCACATCCCTCTCAAGTTGTGCTTGTTGTTAGTAAAATAAGTGTTGTGAGTGAAGTCATGCTGTAGTGCAGGTAAGCGATCGTATCTGACAGTCTTATTCCAAGTGTTGAGTTGCTGAGAGTCAGAATCTGACTGTGTTGTGATACTCAAAGTAATCCTTGTTGTAAAGATGGACAAGGTGGTTTTCTTTCCCGCAATTTGTACTTTTTCATAGAAGTATTAAGTAAGTGCCTGTGGCAATGCCACTGTGATCCTAACTGTTGTCCCTGCGCTCAATGACAGCCAGGCATTCCTCTTCCGCAGGCTATGCCTTTGTCCACATGGAAAACAAGGAAGATGCTCTCCAGGCCATCGAGGCCCTGCATGGCACCTCGTTTAAGGGCCGTCCCCTGTCTGTAGAGCTGTCCAAGGTCCAGCCCAGCAAGCAGGCACCTACAGGAAAAATCCCCTGCGTTAACTGTGGAAAGCAGGGCCACTATGCTGGAGAATGCCCTGTGGGGAAGCCTTCTCTGGAGCAATACCAGAGTCAGGCAGCGGTCTTAGCCGCTGCTGCTGCTGCAGCCGCAGGCCTGCCACTACAAGTCCAACAAAGCGTGCACAATTCAGTCTACAACACCTCCACCTTTGATCCCACATATGCGGCTCTCACTGGGATCACCACAGGCACACGCACGGATGGAAATCCAGTGAATCCAGCTGTTTATGGTGCCCTTGCCAGCCAGGTGTATGGTGCCAATGTTGCCAATCAGCTTTATGGATCGGTGGCCAATCAGGCAGCTCTTACATCAGGCGCCGCCCAAATGTACAGCTCGATGACCCCCAACATTTACGGCCAGATGGCTGCATCTCCGGCGGCTGCTGCTGCGGCTGCCGCCGCCGCTGCCTACTCTACTCCAGTGTACACACCAACTATGGCCAACACCCCTGTCTATCTGACTGCTGCTCATGGAATAGAAATGCCAACAGCAGCGGCTGCAGTCAACCCCGCCTACACTGTATCTCCAGCAATTTATGGTGCTGCTTCACCAGCCTACGCTCATATAAGCGCCATGGGAGCAGCAGACCCTACGACAGCCATCTTTGAGGCAGCCAGACAGGCACATTACTTTGCCCAGGGCCAGCAGGTTGTGGCCGAGCAGCAATCAGTGGCTGCAGCAGCAGCGGCAGCAGCAGCTGTGGCAAAGTCTGGTGAGAGAGACCGCAGTCCCCTACGGAGGTCGTTGTTACCAGACCCTGTGATGAAGCCGTTCATGTACCAGAGAGCCAAGCCACGCCGACCCCTGCTGCCCACGCCAGCTGGCCGAGCGGCAGAAGAAGCAGCGGAGGCTGCAGAGGACCCCATGGCCAGGTAGGACACGATCCGTGATTGTTTTTACCATCAGCTCTGCAGCACCACTGAAAGATTCCCAGAAGGTTTACCTCTAGGAATCTGCTATTTTCTTGTTCTAGCCATGCTTTAAAATAAAAAAAAGCTTTTTTGAATCATCCATGCTTCCTGTTCGCTTTATCACTTTCTTGTTATTCCCACTGTGTTGCCAAGTGCCACAATAAATGCCCATGCTGTCCCTCTTCCTACCTAATCCCTCCTCTCCCTACCCATCCCTCTTTATTCCCCATCCTCCATTCTCTTAGGTATTATGCGGAGTACTACCAGCAGCTGCAGCAGTACCCCCAGTTCCAGTACGCTTACCCACCGCCGAACGCAGTGACAGCTATCCCTGGCATGCCGGGAGTGTCAGCAGTCCAAGCTGTACCCACGATGTCCGCCCAGCCAGTTGCCACGCTGGATGCCCTCAGGCCAGTGGTCCCCACAGCTGCGGCAGTGGCAGCCGCCATGGCTGCGCCCAGGGTGTATGAGCCGCCGTTGCCGCCGCCCACGCGCAAGGAGGCCATCCTCCGCCGCCCCGAACTCTCCCTTCACACGCCTGAGCCCCCCTTCCGATAGTCGCACACAACTCTCTGCCCCCACCCCTTCCTCTTTGCCCTGAACCCCATCCCCTCTTCCACCCCAAACTTGACCACCTTACAGCAGCTGTATGTGTGTGTATGTGAGTTTGTGTGCGTCTGGGGGCTCTAGGTGTGTGTGGGGGGGGGGGGTTTGACACTGGGGGCTCCTTGGTTTATTAACCTGCTTTACGAGGGACTTGATCAGCTAACCTTGGTCCTGTTTGCATACACACAGTGCAGCCACGAAAGGGAGGCTCTCATCTGTTGTACGGGCATTTTTTGTGCTTTTCAGTTTTACTTTTTTATCGTGCCAGTCTCACACTTGTGCCAGTATTAGACTGATCCAGTCAGTTGTTTCATATGCCTTTATTTCTGCAACCCAGTTATGATTTTCTAAGGCCAAATCTACGATAAAAGACATCAGCCATCCTCCTTAGGCCTAGATGATCAGTTAGGGCAGCTAATTTGAAACCTTTTTTGCCTTATGTTGAAGAGTTTAGATTTATAATCAGATGGGAAGTCAGATAAACACATATTGTGTACTGGCTGCATTGCATCGTTCCCAACAGAACCAAGGTTGATGTGTTTTGGGGGAGTGTTTGTCTTGAATGTGATGTGGATGTAGTATGTGTATACGAGTGCAAGAGAGAGATATGTGCGGGCTCCTGACCTTGCAGCGCACAAATGCAGCAGCTAAGACTGCGCCTTGCAGAAAAAAAAAAGTAAAGCACACATAATACGTACTGTATTGTATGTTTGGATCTCTCCTTGACCCCTTTTTCCCCCACCTGTACTCTAACTACAACACTGGAAGACACTGCTCCGCCTCTCTTTCTCTTTCTAACTACAGCTGCCTACCTCTGACAGTAAATTTCAGTGTAGAGTCTATTATATTATATTCCACACCTTTCACCCAGTCAGCAGTACATTTCGTGCTCCTGTAAAGGTACAGGCTCAGCAGTTTAGGGAGGGAGGAGCCGGATTTCAGTGGCAGTGACTTTTGTAGATATTCTGTATTAAGTCCTCCTACATGTTCAGAGGCCTTTTTTTTAAGAATGGTTTGTGTTTTGTTTGTTTTAGTGTTAGTTTATATGTAATACAAGTCAACCTGGGGTGTAATGAATTGTAAATGGAAAAAATAACCCATGTGTGACTACTGAATGAGCTGTTTACAAAGGATTTTTACACTGCATCCTATTAGGATTTATGATATGTGACAAGCTCAATTATGTGCCTATAAGCTTTGAGTGAAGTGCATTACGTGGAGGGATCTCCTATTTTAAGTGCTTTTGACTTTTTAATCATTTCAAGGGAGGGGGGTTGGGGGGGGTAACGGGAGCCCTACAGAGCTTAGTATCCAGAAGGGAGCTTTCTCATGGACACTCCTGTGTTAGATTTGTTTCATATCATATGGTTTTTAAAGAGCCACAAACTGAGCCTCACAGGTTCACAATTAGCCGCTGGTTTTAAGCAGGAACGACAGTGATAGCACCAATGAAGTGAGAGATAGGGCAGTGTCTTCCAGTTGCCCCAGCTATCCTACTTTTTCCAACTACCAGACCTGCTTCAGATTGTAATTGCAAAGATATTTTAGTGTCTGTTTTAATCTGGTTTTTGGACCTAGTAGGTGGGGTTTGCTGCATCAGGATAACAAAAGCTTGACTTGCAAGTACAGGCACTTTTTGACATTCATGAGCTTGTCCTGAGTGGGAAATTCCACACATTTGGTCCCGCAATCAATTAAAACAATCACAACACAGTTTTTTTTTTTTTTTTTTTTTTTGCAAACACTATTTGATAGCGGTCTGATGCACACACAGACATACCCTCTGAAATCACCTTACTGCCTCGCTGTTTCCCCCCTTCCCTCTCCCCGTGTGGTTTTTAGTGGTTAAGTGACTTTTGCATCTCACAGTGTAATCTTTCTGTGTTGTATATACAAACACATACCAGTTGCATCCTTTGTAGAATTATGTGGTTTGCGAAATGTCTTGTTTGCCATGTTTGAGACCGTATTTTTTAGAGAAGTATTTTAATTTTGCCTTTTTTTTTTTAAGAAAAGACCAAAAAAAAAAGTTAAAAAAAAAAATCAGCATGCTTTTTATTGAGAATATGTACACTATAATCATTATTATAATAAAGAATGTTTGGCTGACTACTGTGGTAAAAGAAAGCAAAGGGTTTGGACATTTCCCCTTCTTGTTTATGTTCTTCTCCACTATCTGTTTCTCTTGTGTAAAATGACCACCAGACCCATTTGACTGGGGACCCAGGGGGAGACAGGTGTAGATGCTGGCCCAGCTTTGCTCTCTTTGGTCAGGGTAAGTGCGGGTTGGTGCTCCTTTCTCTCTCCAGCCTCTCAAAGTGGGTGCAAATCAAAATTCATGAAGGTTTGCATCTGACCAAATGCACTTCAGTATTTAATTCTGGCAAGAAAGGCTTGGTATTGTCCTTTTTTTTTTTTTTTTATTAAATTGATTTTCCAGCAGAAAGGACATTATATAATACACACTGTGAAATCATGTTGAGAGCTGGGGAGAGGCACACAGATAGAATGGCCTGGGTGCATTTTGATCTGTGGAGCAGTCCTGTTCCTGGGGTTGATGGGTGTGCGTCTGGTCTGGTCTGGTCTGGTCTTTCCCTGCTGCACCAAATTCTTCCCCTCCGTGTGTCTCTGTGTCCACTCTACTCTCAGACCTGCATGTGTGATAACCTGTAACTCTGCCGCAAGAAAAAAAAAAAAAACCCCGCGACAGTCCAGCTCTGAACTAACTATCTCAACTGAATTAGGTCACCATGCCACCTGGAACGGCCAGCGTGCAGCCGTGCGTGAGCGTGGCGGCGTGAGCCATGGGGAGGACTTTTTGCGCGACGCCACCGCAGTGGGAACTTGTTCTCTCTCTCTTCACCACCAAGGTAAATGAAAAACGAAACAAAAACAAAAGCACTGACCTACCTTCTCCCCACCTGCCGCCCCTCCTTTTGACTGTGCCTTGACCAAACACTACCCGACCCCCCCCCCCCACCACCACCTTCCTCTCCTCCGCCATCACCACCTCCCCTTCTCCCCACTCCGTAACTCCTCTGCTGCAGTGGCAGTGCCATCGGTGGGGGTGGCGGGTGGGGTGGGGTGGGGCTAGGACCCCCTCCACAAGACTGAGTCCTGTCTCGCATCAGCATACAAGACTGTGCCCTCTGTCCCGCTGGTGTCTGAACTAGTGAATACTAGGGAAGTGTGATAGAGTGTGTGTGTGTGTGTGTGTGTGTGAGAGAGAGTGCGTGTGTGTGTGTGTGTGTGAGAGAGAGAGTGCGTGTGCGTGTGTGTGCTTGTTAAACAGAAGGAGAGCATGGATGTGTGAAGAACTCTGGGTGGTGTTTAATTGATTGGTGAAGCTTGGCACATGTGGACACACCCTTCCCCTTCCCCTGCCCGCTGGTCAACTCCTCCACCGCCGTATTCGCCGCCCTCACCCACCCTTCCCTGCCTCCCTCCCTCCCTTCCTTCCACACCTCCCTCTTCCCACCTCCTCCTCACCCCCATCCTACTGTCCCTATGCGCCTCTCCTCTCCGCCGTTCACACACACACAGCGCTTTTTCCGCCGCCACCGCCGTCGCCACCTTGGATCTGGGTTCGTGGCTCTGGCTCGGACTCAACTTCCCAGAACCACCCACCTGACCCAACCTCCCCACCCTCCTTTGTTACCATAGAGGCCTGGGCGTGCCAATGGACAGTGTTTGTGTGGTGGCCCGCCGCCGGACTCAGTAACATGACACAGAGAGACTTCAATGTTGGACAAGTCGCTTTGCTAAAACTGTTGAATGCTGGGTTTGCTCCACATGGCTGTGGAAGGGATCGTAACTCCTGTTTCCCAAAAGAACTTAGCTCCATTACATCCTTAAGTGATAAATCAACCTCAAACTATGGAACCTCAAACAATTTTCGTACCTTTGGGTCCCTCACAGCCTGTGTGCCAATCAGAAACATCCTATAAGATAGGCCTAGGTATGAGGCCAGTCTGACCTGTAGATTCTCATCAATCTCAGGGTTCCTATAGGACTTTTCTGGTACGGCAGCTCTCTTTCTCTAATACTGGGATCAGCTGGAATGGCTGGATATGTGCTCTGAGTGACTTGTATGTGTTCCTACCTGTTAAGATTGTCCATGTGCTGAGATGGAGAGCTTAAGCGTCACACACACTCAAACACACACGCACACGATCCCACACTCATAGGCTTTTAGTATGTCAAACGAGTTGTCTGGCATTTGCTCCGACAGCTGCGAGATGGAGTCGAGACAAAGAGGGCGTTGCCTTCTGTCTGCCTAACAAACAATGGAAATGGAAGAAGAAGGAGAGGGATGAATAGATGAGTTAATTATAAGGTGAGTTGGTAGTGGAAGGATCCTTTTGTTCAAGGCTACCCCCTAACCTCACCTTCCTGATCTTGGAGGACCCTTTTATTAATTGCCATCGTAGAAATACTAGCCCAGAATCTTATTCTAAAAAGGACCCTGTTTGCACGGAGGTGTCACTCATTTACTTATGCTCCCAAGATAGTAGAAAATGTAATTACTGTACATGTAGTCAGGAAAAGAACAAGCTGATCAAAGCCTGACACTCTTCCCCGCCTCCATGATCAGGGTGCGTGGTGCTCCAGTGTTTTTTTTTTCTCTCCCACCAGCCACCTCATCCTCCCCACTCTCCCAGCTCCTCACTAAAGGCTTCTTCCGGTGCTTGCGAGTCTGGGCTTCCTGTGCTTGGGTGAATGCAGCCACGCATCTTTAAACCCCCCCCTTGCTCTGAATTCACAGTCGCACCATACTGACAGCCAAAGCTCGTTGCAGCCTCCTCCTTACTTCCACTTCCTCACCCACTCCCCTCCCCCCCCGCCTTCTGTGCTGTGTTTGGACAGCTGAAGAACTGTAATCCAGATGCTCTTTGTGCGCACATCTCTGTATTTTTGTTGTTTTTGATGGGATCCCACAGGTTGCATCTGTTCTCCTGCAGCAGGTACGAGCTGAGACGTGCAAGTGTGTGCCCATCTGGAACACACCCCAGTTTGGTTTGAGCACAACCCATAGACCATAATGCCTTTGAGTTTGCAGTAATGAGATTCAGTAACCAATGTGACCATGACTATTCTAGCTCTTCTAGCACAAATGTGAATTACATATATCAGACTCTAATGCTGCTCATCCTTTCTTGAGATAAAGACGTTAGCGGTGGAGTCATACCTCAGCCATTACCTCGTGGACACGACATAAACACCTGCAGAATGTAATGCAGTTCAATACAAAATGTATTAAGAAGCTCAATTTATTTCTGTTGAGATTTTGTATAAGCGTTGGCGGTGGTGTATTAGCTTGCATTACATCGTAAAGTGTTCATGTTATTTTGTCCATCCCTTCTCTGTCTTATGTTTAGTAGCCATCAGAGGCCAACTCTGTCTTTTCCCGTGGTCCAACTTAATTGTAAAACTCACATAGTTGGATTATGTTTACCATCCAATCCAATTCCCCCAGCTCAGTAGTAGCACAGTAACATACCTAATGGTAACCACAAATAGTCACACAGTAGCTAAACCTCCTCAAGTAGGTTAATGGACCAAGCTGTGTGTAGTTACATTTAATGTCTGATTAATTATAATATAAATCATTCTAAATTCCAAAGACACATCAAGGGTGACTGAATAATGTGTCACCTCGAGAGGATAGAAATCTGGATCTGCTCATTTCTAGGAAATTTGTTCCAGCACAAAGTCAAACAGGATTTGGGTGGGGGGGGGGGTTAGTTGATGAATGTTAGATGAAATCTTTGCATCAATATGTTTACTGTGAATGACGAATCCTGATATAAACATGAATTATATTGTAAGGTTGTGTATGCATATATATGCCTTTTAATCTGTATTTCTTAAAACGTTCTGAGGCATTTTCAGTCTGCATGCAAATCATGAATAAATTCTTGTTTTTCTCATAAAATTGCCTGAATCTCTTTTGTTCTGATTGAATTGAGATAATACAGAATGCCATGAGTATTTCTTGATAAACAGTTTGATATACTGTAGATAATAAACAGTATAAACTGTGCATTCACCTGCACCCTCATTTTCAGCAGTGTGGAATAAGACGGTTTTAGCAGCTGTCAATCTTTGCAGTACTTGGCCCAGGGCTACTTGGCCTGTAGTGAAAGAGAGGAACTCCAACATTTCTCAAAGTTTTTAGTAATGGAATTGGACATTCAGACCTTTTTTTGTTCTGGGAGAGGTAGGGCTGAAACTACAGAGGTCTGGGTTTGCCACTGAGTGTCACCAACAGCAACAGGTGCATTTCAGAGGCCATAAAAACCTCTCTGGAGCGAGGGGGCGTAAATGACATCCCTCCTCACCACTCACAAGCCCGTCAACCCTGCCCGCGGGACAGTACCCCGCCTTTTACACCTTTTTAGGGTCAGAACCCGATACCCAAGCTGTCAGTTCCCATACTTATTGGGGTGCGGTCACGTGTGCCACTTTTGACCAGGAAAGGAGCACCGGCCAGCAGGGTCTTCTGGTAGTGGGAGCACCACCTCCGCACAGGCACCTCGCAGCCCCTAACAGTCTCTCCCCCCCGAAAGCGAGACCCCTCGTCTCAAGGAGGTTCTTGCCCTCACGGCGTCGTCGTCGTTTGTGTTGCTGATTTATTTTTTCTTACTAAAAGCTGAGGGGGACGTGAGAGTCCTGACAGAGGCGGCACGATGACAGCTGTCGAAACCCAAATGACATACAGCAACTCCTACACGATCCACCATGAAGAAGCGTACATGACCCAAGAGGATGACTGGGACAGGGACCTGCTGTTGGACCCTGCCTGGGAGAAGCAGCAGAGGAAGGTAGGTTTTGGATCCGGAGGCTCTGGGCTGCGGGTTAGGCTTGTGCCGCCGTGCGTAATTACGCACCGACTTACCCATGCATCACACAATCAACCAGTGACTTTTTGAATGCATTTTAAATGACAAATGTTATGGTTTCGGGATTATTAGCCTCCTCATGATTGTCTAAAACAGCCCTACATGTAAAACGGGCATCTGCGCCTTGGCTGTCCTCGCACCTGGCACTTCAGTCCTGCTGGAAGCTGTGTGGGCAGATATTTTGGGCCGTGGAACTTTCTCAGTGTTGTCTTTCAGTTACCCCCGATTGCCTTGCGAAGACTGTCTAAATATAATACCACCCTCCCCAGTCTCTCGTCTAAGCTACATTTGAATCATAACTTAGAAAATACACATACGTTAAGAAGGACTTTAACAACATTAAGCCAACCTGGAGCAAATTTAGGCCGGGGTGAAGTCACCTACTTTGATTTATATCAGTTTACCAGCTATTTTATACAGACATGAGTGATTAGTAACACCAAAAAGCGGCATTTTTTTTATATCACTAATAAATACTGATTTAAAGAGTTTATAAACACAAGTAACAACAATAAAACTTGTGTATTCGTACAAATAGACTTCTTTAACCTGATGTTTCCAGCCACACTAATCTAGCCCGGGCCCAGCCGTTGCCTAGGCGACCCAGCTGACAGGTGCGTTTAATGAGCCGTCGGAGCTAAAAGTCAACTGACAAAGGTGACGTCTGCCGCCGCAAAACTGGGACAGAAACAAGGCTTGTAAAGGTTAATACAGTTTTATTATTAGTCTAAATGTTCACCTGACACACAGACTGTCCTGAGAGTGTTTCAGTACAGAGGAAAAATATGTATCATCCTCGGTGGGGTTTATCTTTAAAGGGTTCAACTGGTGTGCTTCCCCATGGTTGGTCGCCATGTTGGATGGCCATTTTCAAAGAGGTGACCGCGGTTTGCCGTCTTCCTCGGCGGAAATAGCTCTCAGGTACACAGTTTCTTGTGGTTTAGAAGTAGCATTAAGTTATAACATTTTCTGAGAATCAAGCTTTCTTTTAGGAAGGTTAGTACAGGTAGTATTTTAGGCCCTGGTATTGTGAAAGAGTGCGTAACGTTACACATAGAGCTAACACAAATTAACAAGTTGATTAATGACATTTCTCTATCTTTTAATACAGCTGAAACCAAAAGGTATTCAGTCTGCATCACAATGAAAGAAATACTTGTGACTGGGTAAATTAAAAACAGGATTTATTTGTGAATACAATATAACAATACAATAATAATATACAATAATTAGAATTAAATTTATAGTGATTAATTTACTTGTAGAAAGAGTCACTTTCTGTTATACAATTTTTTTGAGTTAAAACTTGGAAGATGTTTAAAAAAAAAAGGCTTCATATGTAATATTTTGTGTTCTAGTTAAATAGTCTTTTATAAATGTTCTATAAGTGTCAAAAGACATGTACATGCTACATGTCAAGGGACACAAACTGGGGAAAAGCCAACCAAAATACGATTTCTTTATACTTTTTGTTAAGTACAACTCAACTGCTTCTCTGTCTTGCCATTTTCTCTGCATATGTATGACTTTTTGGTTTGTTTTTTTAAATACTGGTTACTCGTCAGATGATGAAATATGTTACATTATACACATGTTGTGCAGTATTTTAAAGAAGCAAGTAAAGAAACAACAATGAAGTTGTTTGGCTTTTTAAACTCAAAAAATGCTGTTATTCTTTATTATGTTGCTAATTTATTGTAAGTTACATGCTCCTCATCAAAAAATATCAGTCTCTTAATAGGTCACCAGTAAAAATAATCACTCATTTTTAAATGTAATATCCGTCAATGCAAAAAGTATTCTAATGTATTAATGCATCTATTTCAATTTATATCCTTTTTTTTCTTTGTTGTAATCTAATTTTGTGCTCTTGCCGCTACAAGACAATTTCTCCCTAGGGATAATCTAATCCAATCTACTCTAAACTAATCTACTCTAATCCAGCCTAATCTAATAACCCCTAATCTGCACTATTGTGGTGCATTACAGCATAGAGCAGCACAGTATCAGCATTTTTGATGGGCATGTTCAGATGGCACTTCTGCAGAATTGTTCTGTCACTGCAAAATGTCCCCTACCTATAGAGCTAGAGCACTGTGACAGGCTGAGAGACCTCAACAGATGGTAACAGAGAGAGAGAGAGAGAGAGAGAGAGAGAGAGAGAGAGAGAGAGAGAGATGGCAGGGCTGGTTAGATATACACCCCGGGTTAGTTTCACAGACCTACAAATAAACATCTTCCTAAAAATACTTTTCAACTTGCTCGGCTCCCTCCCTCCCTGCCTTCTTCTCTTGCTTTCTTTCTGTCACTCTCTTTTCTCCCGTCAGTTTGAACACATCCTCTTGCCATCATTCATGAAAAACCCCTTTTGCACCTTCTCTTCCTTTTTCCGTGGCACACTTTGTTTTGTTTTTTTCTGTCTTTAGAGTTATTCTTTTTTATTCTCACCCCTTATGCACCTGTCAATCTTTTGAATGTAAGATGATATAATGGGCCTTGAAAAACCTCGCACAGCCCAGCAAGCCCCTCTCGTTAGTATTCAACTCTCAACCTCCCAGGAGAGCAGGTCATCGTACTCCATTGCTCTCCTTGGCATGTAAAATCTAGCTTAAGGAGCTGATATCAGCCCATAAATATAGCCAGTGCATCATTTTGCAATGTAATGAGTATGAAAGGAAATCCTCGTGCCACCTGTTCTGTAGTCTATGCTGGAAATTTCAGTGGAAAAAGCTGCTCATCACTTGATGCAGTAGTTAAGTGTTTGTCAACACAGTGATGCCGAATCTGATACGGACATTAGAAATAGTGTCTGTGTGTGCGTGTGTGTATGTGTTTCTGAATTGTACATTTTGACATTGGTTTATATTTATCATGAAGCAGCTCTTGTAGATTGCTAGCTAAATGATTCATGGCTTGGTTTGGACCAGGAATTTTATTTGATAGGAGTTGGCAGATATGGTGTTAGATATTGCATCTAGCAAAGGGTGTCAGCTGGAATGAGATCTGAAAGGACAGAGTGATGAGATTTGGCTGCATCTGGTTCGGGCGATATTCTTTCCCTCCAAAGCAGCTGTAATCCTAGAAATAAGAAGAGCTTGGTTGTCAGACTGATTTTAAGAGATGAGGCGAACAGGCCAGTTAGGGACAGAAGTAGATGTTTCCATGAACTCTCAAAGCGTATTGATTTCTGCCTCACCCAGATGCGGTGCTGAGAGCTTAGAGAAGTCTTACTCGATCTACAAAAAGTAGTGGTCTTTAGAAGGGGGGATCAATAGCTGTTTAAAGATTAACTCTTATTGCGGAGGACTGTGCTCAATAGACCATCTGTAGTGCTGAACACCTGGCTATGTTGTAGAAGATAGATGTATGCTCGTGTGCAGTATTTCATGAAATCCACATGTTGTAGTTTGGCTACTTTTTCTGTTTGTATGATGTATTGAAATATTAAAAGTCAATAGAACATCTCAATAAGACCAAAAATGTTGACCACCATGACTCAAGTCCTCTTCTGTTTCACATAGTTTAAGAGTTCAGCTGCTAACTGACTAAGTGAATGACTGGCTGCCTAACAATCTTATGATAGCCATCACTTAAAAATACCCATTACATAGAGTTATCAACAACCTTATTGGCTCAACTGACCTATTAGACACATGCTGGATTTAATATATACATACACACATCCACAGACACATCAGAAATCACGTCTTCTCTCATTGGTGGAAGTGTAAAAATAGTCTCCCACTGTCATTTGTTTGTTTTTACACTTACACAATTAAAATGTTTGGTTATAAGAAATCCTTTAATTTTCAAAAAATACACTTAGTTCTTAAGTTGATATGAAAATTAAGTCATGATACAGTCAAATGCTGGGATAAAATATGGAATTAATTAAACCAATCTCTTGTAAATGTCATCTAAATTGAATAATCATTCCAGCAAATGTGACCGATGAATTCGTCTTGGGGCCAATTATGTGATCATTTTTGCCCAATGACTAATTATAAACATTTATTCGCATTAACAGATTAAC